GTAATTCCCGAAATTCCCGGGTTTCCAAAGGAATTTCCCGGGCTTCCATCGGTAATTCCCGAATTTCCAGCGGAAATTCCCGAATTTGCATCGGTATTCCCTGAATTTCCAGCGGAAATTCCCGGGTTTCCATCGGTATTCCCCGAATTTCCCGGGTTTCCATCGGTAATTCCCGAAATTCCCGGATTTCCAGCGGAAATTCCCGGGTTTCCATCGGTATTCCTCGAATTTCCCGGATTTCCAAAGGAATTTCCCGGGTTTCCATCGGTATTCCCCAAATTTCCAGCGGAAATTCCCGATTTTCTATCGGTATTCCCTGAAATTCCCGGATTTCCATCAATATTCCCCGAATTTCCAGCGGAAATTCCCGGATTTCCATCGGTATTCCCAAAATTTCCAGCGGAAATTCCCGATTTTCCATCAATAATTCCCGAATTTCCCGGATTTCCAGTGGAATTTCCCGGATTTCCATCGGTATTCCCTGAATTTCCCGTGGAATTTCCCGGATTTCCATCGGTATTCCACAAATTTCCAGCGGAAATTCCTGGATTTCCATCGGTAATTCCCGAAATTACCAGATTTCCAAAGGAAATTCCCGGATTTGCATCGATATCCCCCAAATTTCCAGCGGAAATTCCTGATTTTCTATCTGTATTCCCTGAAATTCCCCGATTTCCATCAATATTCCCCGAATTTCCCATGGAAATTCCTGAGTTTCCATCGGTATTCCCTGAAATTCCCGGATTTCCACAGAAAATTCCCGGATTTCCATCAGTATTCCCCGAATTTCCAGCAGAAATTCCCGGATTTCCATTGATATTCCTCAAATTTCCAGTGGAAATTCCCGGATTTCCATCAGTATTCCCCGAATTTCCACCTGAAATTCCCAATTTTCTATCGATATTCCCAGAATTTCCCGGATTTCCAGAGGAAATTCCCGATTTTCTGTCAATATTTCCCAATTTTCCACCAACATTCCCTGAATTTCCATTGATTTTTCCAGAATTTCCATCCAAATTTCCCCAATTTCCATCAATATTTCCCAATTTTCCATCAATATTCCCCAAATTTCCATCAGAATTCCCCCCAGAACCCCCAAAATTCCTGATTTTCCACCGGGAATTTCTGCTTTTTCTCCGGGAACCCAAATCCCCACCGCAATTCCCATTTTTCCCCCCAAAATTTCTGGTTTTCCCCACTTTTCTCCACTTTTCCCCCCCAAAATTCCCATTTTTCCCATCAGAATTCCCAGGCTTTGCCCCAAAATTCCCATTTTCCTCCCCAGAACCTGTGAAATTTCCATTTTTTCCCCCAAAATCCCCACTTTTTTCCCCGGAATTCCGGTTTTTTTCACCAAAATTCCCATTTTTCTCCCCAAATTTCCCATTTTCCTCTCCAAAATCCCCATTTTTTCCCCCAGAACTCCGGGGTTTCTCCCCAAAATTCTCATTTTTCCCCATAAAATCCCCAATTCCCCCCCCAAAATTCCCATTTTCTCTCCCGTTTTCCCCCTTTTCTCCCCCGTTTTTCCCCCCAAAATCCCCATTTTTCCCTCCAGAATTCCGGGTTTTCCCCCCAAAACCCCCGTTTTCCCCCCCAAAATTCTCGGTTTTCCCCCCAAAATCACCACTTTTCTCCCCAAAATTCCCGGATTTTCCTCCAAAATCCTCATTATTCCCCCCAAAATCCTCATTATTCCCCCCAAAATCCTCATTTTTCCCCCAAAAATCCTCATTTTTCCCTCCGGAATTCCGGGTTTTTCCCCCAAAATCTCCATTTTTCCCCCCAAAATCCTCATTTTTCCCTCCGGAATTCCGGGTTTTTCCCCCAAAATCTCCATTTTTCCCCCCAAAATCCTCATTTTTCCCTCCGGAATTCCGGGTTTTTCCCCCAAAATCTCCATTTTTCCCCCCAAAATCCTCATTTTTCCCTCCGGAATTCCGGGTTTTTCCCCCAAAATCTCCATTTTTCCCCCCAAAATCCTCATTTTTCCCTCCGGAATTCCGGGTTTTTCCCCCAAAATCTCCATTTTTCCCCCAGAGATTCGGGAAAAAACGGGAGAATTCGGAGAGATTCGGGAAATTTGGGAAGTGGGGGAGGGAGGGGAGAGGGGGGAGGGGAGGGATCCGAGAGAGTTCCGGGGGGATTTGGGGATTTTGGGAGTTTTCCGATGAAATTTGGGAGTTTTCTGGTGAAATTTGGGAGTTTTCCGGTGAGATTTGGGAGTTTTCCGAAGGAATTTGGGGATTTTGGGAGTTTTCCGATGAAATTTGGGAGTTTTCCAGTGAAATTTGGGAGTTTTCCGAAGGAATTTGGGGATTTTGGGAGGTTTCCGAGGAAATTTGGCAGTTTTCATATGAAATTTGGGAGTTTTCCGAAGGAATTTGGGGATTTTGGGAGTTTTCCGGTGAAATTTGGGAGTTTTCCGCAGGAATTTTCGAGTTTCCTGATGGATTTGGGGAGTTTTCCGAAAAAATCTGGGATTTTCCTGATGGATTTTGGGAGTTTCTTGACGAAATTTGGGGATTTGGGGAGTTTTCCGAAAAAACCTGGGGGGTTTTGGTCAAAATTTTGGAATTTTGGGAGTTTTCCAAAGGATTTTGGGAGTTTTCCGACGGAATCTGGGAGTTTCTTGATGGAATTTGGGAGTTTCCAGACGAAATTTGGGGATTTTGGGAGTTTCCAGATGGAATTTCCTCCTTTTGGGCTTTTCTTGATAAAATTTGGGAATTTCCAGAGTTTCCCCCCAAAATTCCCGCACTTCCCGACGGATTTTGGGAGCTCCCGGAGGCTCCCGCTGAAATCCAGGAATTTTCCCAGAAATTGTCCGAATTCCTGCATTTTTTGGCCGGAATTCCCGAATTTTCCGGGGGGATCTGAGGCGTTCCCGACGGATTTTGGGCGTTTCCGTCATTTCCGGGCGTTTCCTGGTTGGAATTTCCCATTTTTTGGGATTTTCGGGCGTTTCCTGCGGGGATTTTCCTCCTCCCGCTGCTCCTCATGGAAATTCCCGACGGATTTTGGGATTTCCGACCCAAATTTGGGCCGAAATCCGCCGGGATTTGGGGTTTTGGCCCCAAAAGCTTCGATTTTGGGTCGGGATCCGTCGAGATTTGGGATTTCGGGTCGGAATCTTCCGGATTTTGGGGTTTTGACCCCGAATTTCTCTGGAGCTTCTCCTGCTCTTCCTCTGAAACCATCGGGATTTGGGATTTTGGGCCGGAATCCGCTGGAATTTGAAATTTTGACCCCAAAAGCTTCGATTTTGGGCCAGAATCCGTCGATATTTGGAATTTCGGGCTGGAATCTCCTGGATTCTGGAATTTCGGGCCGGAATCCGCTGGATTTTGGGATTTTGGCCCCAAAAGCTTCGATTTTGGGTCAGAATCCGTCGAGATTTGGGATTTCGGGCTGGAATCCGTTGAGGTTTGAAATTTTGACCCCAAAAGTTTCGATTTTGGGTCAGAACCCGCTGGATTTTGCAATTTCAGGCTGGAATCCTCGGGATTTTGGGATTTTAGCCCCAAAAGCTGCAATTTTGGGTCGGAATCCTTCGATATTTCGAATTTCAGGCTGGAATCCTCCGGATTTTGTAAGTCTGCCCTCAAGAGCTTCGATTTTGGGTCAGAATCCGCTGGATTTTGGAATTTCGGGCCAAAATCCCCCGAATTTTGGAATTTCGGGCCGGAATCTCCTGGATTTCGGAATTTCAGGCCGGAATCCTCGGGATTTTGGAACTTTGATCCCAAAAGCTTGGATTTTGGGTCAGAATCCGCTGGATTTTGCCATTTCGGGCCGGAACCCGCCGGATTTTGCAACTTCCACCCCAAGACTTCCGAATTTCCCCCGGAACCTTCCGGAACGGCGGATTTCGGCCCGGAACCCTCCGGATTTCGGCGCCTCCCTCCGGAACTTTCCCCCCCGGCCCACGCGGCGCCATCTTGGGTGGTAGCGGGGAAGAAGAAGGACGGAGTGCGCATGCGCAGCGACGTGATCCCGCCTTGCGCATGCGTAGCAACGCCAGTAAGCACCGCCCCTCGTGGGTCCTCGTCCAATCAAAATATACCAACGCTTAAACCCGCCCTTGATTGACAGCAAGATGAACCAGTTGGGTGTTTCAAACAAATGATTGACAACTTGCAGAACCAATCAGAGCGCATTTATTACATATTATATATACAATGCACAGCGAAGCGCGCAGCGATTCCACAGCGAGAATTCCCAAAATTCCCCAAATTCCCGCCGGGATGTAAGGAAAAAAAGGGGGGCAGGGGTCGTACCTGTCCCGGGGGAGGGGAAACTGAGGCACGGAGTGGTTCCAGAGGGAGAAAATTCCTCAAATTCCCAAAATTCCCGCCGGGATTTTCGTACCTTCCGCAGGGAAACTGAGGCACGGAGCGATTGTATTAAAAATTCCCAAAATTCCTGGAATTCTGGGGGTGGTACCGTGATCCGAGGGGAAAACTGAGGCACGGGAGGATTCCCGACAAGAAAATCCCAAAAATTCCTGGAATTTTGGGGTGGGTTTGTACCTTCCAGAGGTAAACTGAGGCACGGAGCGGTTCCACAGGAAAATCCCCAAAATTCCTGGAATTTTGGAGGGATCTGTCCCAATTTTTGGGGAAAATTCCTGAAATTTTCAGGGGAAACTCCCAAAATTCTTCGAATTTTTGAGGGTCCTACCCCGAATTTTTTTGGGAAACTGTTCCACAGGAAAATCCCCCAAATCCCTGGAATTTTGAAAAAAGGATCAAAACCATAGGAAAACTCCCCAAATTCTTGGGGTTCTGTGCTGGTTTTTGGGGAAATTCCAGGGATTTTTGGGGAGAAATTCTCGGGATTTTTTGGGGAGAATTTCCCGAAATTCTTGGACTTTTTAAGGGTCCTATTCCAAATCTTTTTTGGGGAAACTGAGGCACAATAAA